ACTGTGGAAGCCAGAAAAGAACAGCAGGTGCTGCTTCCCAGTCTCCTTGCAGCTACATGAGTCAGTTCAGGCCAATGAGATGTTCCAGAAGTCAGCTGCCAGACTCCTGAGAGACCTTGGACAAACAGCGTTGCCTTTCTTTTCTCCTTCCTGATTTAAAAGTTGAACACGATGACTGGAGCTGTAGCAGCTGTCTTATGACTATGACAAAAGAGTTAAGAGAACGAAGAAATACTAGCTGATAGAGCTGAACTCTTGAACCAATCCCAGCAGCCACCCACCTAAAAATTTCTATGTAGGGCCGGGGATTTAGCTCAGTGGAGCCACTGCTTGCCTTGAAAGAGCAAGATCCTGGTTTGATCCCCGGCACCAAAAAAAAAGAAAAAGAAAAAAAAATTTCTATGCAGAAAAAACAGTATAATCCTATTTGCTTAAGTCACTGAGGTCAGTGTTCTGTAACTTATAGCCAAAAGCTTTCCAAACTGATACGATTTTTGTACTGGGGACCAGATCCAATCAAGTTATTCCCTCTGAGACGTCAGGTGAGACACTACGGATCTGTTAAGATGGACTAGGCAACGAGACATCTAGTGACATGACGTCAGACAGTCTAACTACCAAAGCAAGTGCAGTAGTGACCATGTTAGAGGTTACTACTATCAGAGATTTAAAAGACAATGTTTACATCCGCTCAAATCTTCCTATCGGTTTAGGCTAAAGTATAACCTTTCCTTCCTCCCACACAACATTAAAATCAGTACCAGGGCCAGTAATTTCTCATCTGAACTGCACTTTTCTCTTGTTATTCAAAATAAGCTCTCAGAAGCTAGAATTCACAGCCAGTGTTTCACAACTCTGAGCTGTCACAAGGTGGCACAGAGTCAGATGAAAAGGCCTCAAAAAGAAGGAAGATGACCGTGAGTAGGGAAGGCTGGAAGGGGCATCAGTGGGCCTTGGGCCAGGCCTGGGCGAGTGCCGCCTGATGGGGAATTGCTGCATTGCAAGTGCAGACTGCTTGCAGGTGATAGCTCACTTGTGGGGCTTTATTGCACTCGTCAGATTAACAGTTTTGATTAAATCACCACTTCATTGGCTCTGAGCGCACGACTTTTAATAAGAGGACGATATCTGCTGCTACTGAGCACCAGTGCACATTCAATACTCAGACTTCCAGGGTGACAGGAGAGCAAGGCAGGGGACACCCGGTGCCAGGGTGCTTCCCAGCAGCTCATTCTGGCTCTCAAAGCTGTGGATGTCAAGCAGGAAGTACCACAGACACCAAGATGGCAGACGGCTATGCAGCTGGGTTTATATATCTGCACACTTGTGCACATTTTAAAATATCTGCGCATATATATGTATATGGTGATATAAAGATGGGTTTTTTTAAGGGGTGAATCTGCCCCAGGATAAAATATCCCTTATCCAACTCAAAAATCTTTAACAATTGATGTCAGCCAAACAAAAGACATCTGTGCTCTTGTTAGTGAGTCTGTAACTCCTGTGCAGTTCATGTCCTTGGTGTTTTAGTTCTTTGAGACAAGGACCCACTATGTAGTTCAGGCTGGCCTCAAACTCACTATGTAGCCCAGGCTGGCCTAGAACTCCCTGCAGTCCTCCTGCCTCAGCCTCCTGAGTGCTGGGATTACCGATGTGCACTACCACCGCCCCCCAGCCAAAATCCTTTATATTGCAGATGAAGTTTATTTTAGTTCCCTCATCCCAAACAAGGCGATTGACTCAGCCATGGCACAGGATGCAAAAGGACTCCAAAGGCTGGGATTAAGAAAGGGCTGCTGTTTATCAATCACTCCCCTGCACCAGGCATGTGACGGGCACTGTACACTTATGGTTTCATTTAATCCTCACAACCACTGTGGGAAGTGAGGTGCAACAAGCAGTGGAGGCCACAAGCCATCCGCTGAAGCATGCCGGCCCCTTTTCCCTTAGTAATGGAGCTGTCACTGGCCAGACCATGCAGCCTCCTGGCTGATAAGCACATTTCTGAGCCCCTTGCAGTTAGGAGGAGCCCTGCATCTTCGTTTTTTCCAATGGAAAATGGGCAGTGTGAGCCCAGGATTCTCAAGATGGTGGGTGTTTTCCCCACTCTCCATTCCTCTAGACCAACCCTTGACAAACCTGAGGGCCAAATCTGGTCCAGTGGCTGTGTTTGTAAGTAAAGTTTAACTGAGGACAATGCCACACCCACTCATTTACACACTGCCGATGGCCAAGAACAGTATCTCGTTTTTCATGGTACTTATTTCTATAAAATTGACACCATCATTAGTTTAACAAATGTCTCTTGGGTTTTTTTTTTTTCTCAGTACCAGGAATCAAACTCAGGACCTTGCACTTGCTAGGCAGGCATGGTGCCATTGAGCTAAATCTCTGGCCCCTGATTAACAAATATGTAACAGGTTAGGTTCCTTTGAGCTGCTGGTCCCAACATTTTCATCAACTGATCCACACAAAACCTTGTTTTACGTGTGTTTCTTTAAGAGGTCTTATCTCATATAGTTGGTTCCTTAAAAATGAACTCAAAGGGCCAGGGATTTAGCTCAGTGGTTCCGCTGCCTGCCTCGAAAGTGGAAGGTCCCAAGTTCAATTACCGGTACCAAAAAGAAAAAAAAAAAATGAACTCATGGCCAACAGTATCCTATAGTCCAGAGTTATGCCATGCCTGAAAAAAAGTTTATCTAGCCAGACATAGTGGTGCACGCCTATCCTATATTCCCAAGACTCTGGAAGGCTGAGGCAGAAAGATAGCAAGTGAGAGCTCAACCTGGGAAACTTAATGACTTTGCAAGACCCTGTCTCAAAACATAAAAAGGGCTGGAGATGTAGCTCAGTGCAAAGGCCTTGGCTTCAACCCCCAGTAACACAAACACAAACACTCACACAAACACACACACACACTGATCTAAAAAAACTATTTGCTCTCTAAACCACATCAAAGCATTCTTGTACTTAGCAATACTAACACTTTAGCACTATTCTTGGGGGCCACTTGAAACAGCAGAATCATCAATAAAAAGCATTAAAAAATGCAAAAATCATAGCACTAAACAGACCATAAAATGGACACTTGTTCATAGTATAACAGCTCAAACAAGAAGGGAGAGCATTGCTTGTTCAACTTTAGCTATAAATATGGATCCTGGGTGATTCAATTTTTTCCTGTTGTTTTGTTTTAGCCCATGGATGACTACAAAAGCACTGCCGATCCCAATCTGGGGCCTCAAATACATTTTAGCCAGTAGGCATATTGGTAAATAGGCTATCTGTGCATAGGAAGGATCAACTGTAGCTGCAACAGAGACCACACAGCCCACAAAGCCTAAAATACTTATATCATCTGACCCTTTACAGACAGGTCTGCTGGACCCTGCCCCAGCTTGTCAGAGAAAATGACAAACTTTTCTGGGTTTTTTGGTTTGTTTTCAATACTGGGGATTCAACCAAGGGTGCTCACACTGAGCTACAACCGCAGCCCTTCATTTTTCATTTTGAGACAAAGTCTTGCTAAGTCACCCAGGCTGGGCTCAAACTTGCAATCCTCCTGCCTCAGCCTTCTAGAGGCTCCATGAGATTATAGGCATGTACCACCACGCCAAGCAAACTTTCATGTTCTTGTTTTGCTTTTTGAGACAATGTCTTGCTATGTAGTTCAGGCTGGCCTCGAACTTCTACCAAGTGCTGAGATTACAGGCCTGCACCACTACACTTTCAGGTTCTTGGGCCGGGGATTTAGCTCAGTGGCATCGTGCCTGCTTTGCGAGCACAAGGTCCTGAGTTTGATCCCTGGTACCAAAAATAAAAAAAAAAAAAAGTCACTTTCAGGTTCTTTCACTAGCACTTTCAAGTTCTTGATGACACTTGAGTATTGGGGTTTCTCTGTTGTAGCATCTTACGGTCCCCTAACACAGGCTGTAAAGTCTGTGCCTTTCCCATCACCCAGTGATATCTCCTGTCATCATTCATTACTGTCTTTTCAGAGATTTTCAACAACTTTCACCTACCATGGGCACCAATATTTCCCCAAAGGCGCTATTAAAACCACCTGCACCAGCACACATGTGGCTTGTTTAAAATGCAGCGTCCCTGTTAAAACGTACACCCACATCTTACTGCATTACTTGGGTTGGGTCAAAGAGTTCAATTCTCCCTTTTCACAGGGTCTGCAGGTGATTCTATACATTCATAAATTTGAGAATCACTGAACTGGGGAAGAGGCAGGAGGAAGCCCATTACCCTGGAGCCCACAACTTCTGGGACGAAGCACAAAGGGAAGCAGGAGCACTTCTGGGAAGACCACTTGGGCCCTACTCCCAGCTCCATCGTCTCTACTGCTTCAACCTGGGCTCAATTTGAAACCTGTTTCTCATCTGTACAAATCTCTCGGGCTTGCAGGGAGGATTAACAGGGAACACGAGCCAAAGTCGCAGACAGTAGTTACTCAGTGTGCATCAGCTGTTTCTCTTCCATGCGCAGTGAATTATTCCTAAACCCTTCAGCATCAGGTCTAGGATTTATAGGCGCCCAAAGGTTCTCAAAGTCGCGTCCCTTCCTCAAGCTCTGGGACCACAGAGGAAAACGTCCCCATCTAGGGGGATAGTTAAGCCGCTACAAACACGCAGGGCGACATAGGCTCCGTCACCCTGGAGGTCCCCACCCCTCGGGCAGCCACCTGTCCCTATGGGTTAGGCTCCACTTACAAGTCTCTCTCAGGATCCTCCTAGTTTCTGTGTCCCTCGCAGTAGGGTCCCCTCACTTGGGGGCCACGTCTCCTCCCTCTGGGGTTCCCCCATCCCCGGGCTTCCTAACCTCGGGGCCCCGTCGTGACCCTCACTTCCGGCTCCTCCTACCTCACGTCCCTCTCCCAAGCCCGCGTCGCCCTCGCCTCCTCCCTTGACTCTTCCTCCAACCTTGCAGCCCCATTACCCTGCAGCCGGTAGAAGGCAACTAACGAAAGGTCCAACTTCCACGCCTCCCCTCACCTCTAGAGCGACGCCCAGATTCTCCCGCTTCTTTTTAGTCATGTTGCTTGCCGGGATCCCCGAGCACCACGGGACACGCCCATTGAGTCGCACTACGCACGCGCAAATCCTCGTGCTTCTCTTTCATTGGTCTCCGAGACGGCGGAAGGCGGAGCTACTTGTGGTCGCCTTGTTGTTAAAGGGAGCGGCCATGTTTATGAGGGGCAGCTTCTAATTTGAAGGCCCGGTTTAGGGGCGGAGAGAGAATAAAACCTGGGGCGGAACAGTGGCTGGCCCGCCCAGGGTGGAAGCCGATTTGTATCACCAGAGCTTTTTTTCTTTCTTTGTGGTACTGGAGATTGAACCCACAGCCCCGCCCCCCTTTAATTTTGAGACACGGCTCTCAATTTTTCCAGGGTGTGTTCGAATTTGTGGCCCTCCTGCCTCAGTCCCCTAGAGTGCTGGGATTTCACAGCGTCAAGAAACCTTTTTTTTGTTTTTTTTTTTAAACCCCACCGTCAGTTACCTTTACCCTTGAAGTCCCTGCCCAGTTTTATGCCAAGTCCCTCACCCCCCCCATTCAAATTCTGCCCATCCCTTAAGGTCCAACCCAGCACCTCTGCCCTGTGGTTTGATAAGGGCTTTCTCCTGTTAGCTCTCCTTTTTGTTTTCTATTCTTCCTCATTTTTCTTGTAAGACAAAAACAGCCGAGAATATCACAGAGAACTTAGAAATGAGAGGTAGTGGCCTTTATTCTGCCAGTCTTATCTTGGTTTCTGTGTATTCCTTCCAGGCTTGGACTCAAATGTAGTATTTTATGCTGTTGAAATTCTGTTGTACGGTACACTGTAGACCTGTGGCCTTTGGAATATTTTGACTGTGAGCCCACCATGAAAATTGTTTTTTATTATCAAAGTAACCCCAACCAAAAATTCACAATAAGAACCTTTACCGTCTGTGAAGCACGATGTTTTCTACTGCCCCTTTTTTTCTCTTTTACTTCCCTCTCCCTCCCCCTCTTCCCCACCTCCTACCATGCTGGAGATCTGACCCAGGGCCCGGTCCTAAGCAAGCACTCTCACTGAGCTACACCCCCAACCCTACTGTGGCCTAGTTGATTAAAGAAAAGGAAGTCAGTGGCAGGAGACCTAACAAGTGGATCCCCACTACTGGAGAGTCAAGCACAGTTAGGAAAAGCACGGTCATAGACATTTTTCCATGTCTTCAAAATCATCATCAGGATAGTGTCACCAGGTGAATGTATCTTTCTTGCATTGGACAGGTCAGAACCTCCAAACAGTGCTAACCCACACATCTTGTACACAGAACTCTGTCCTACTATACTCTTTTTCTCGGATAAACTTGCAGAATGGAATTGTTGAGTCAACAATTATGAGACCAGAATCAGAGCTCCTCATTTCCTGACCAGTGGTCTCTTCAGTGGAGCCTGTGTTTCTGTGGGTGAATGATGACCCCAAATCAGGGTTGGGGGAAAAAACATGTTTTCAGATCTGTGTCCTGTTCTTGATAGAGTCTTTGAGTGATGGCCCTGGAAGGGACCTGAGATAGTGTTGTGTTCAGCCGCCTGACGACGGCCCACAGGCAAGAGTGGGGTCAATCCTGTCTGAACAGGGCACAGGCTGTTGAGTGCAGTTCTCAGCTTAACACCCAAGTGCAGGAAAAAGTTACTCGAGAACACTGTCCGTCAACTGTCAATCAACAACATTTATTGTCAGAACACTTTTCCCAGCCTTGGTTCCGATCCCAGAAAAGCTAGACTCCATGCTTCCCAATTACCACAGGCACCGGCCCAGGGTAGGCGAGAAGAGGAGGGAAAACACTGTGTTCTTTTACAAATGGCTCCTTCTGTGACTGCTTGGCACCAAGAAAAAGCCACAGAGCTCTGGGCGTGCCCCAACTTAGGCTCATCTCTTTCTCCCATACCCTAGAAAAGGATTAGGCAAGCTGTCATCTTTCACCCCTTCGCTTCCCAGCCAGACGGTGTCCCCTGGGTCTGATGATAGCACAGGATGCTGATGCCGGGCTGGACTGAGGCCAGGGAGGGGGTGAGGGGTGTGCAGTGAAGGGGCCGCTTGCAGAGCGAGGCCAACTTGGAATCTGACCCAAGCTCTGCCACTTAGCGGCTGCCTCATGGCCCAAAGCACTCGGGCTTGCTCAGCCTCAGTTTCCACAGCGATTCAGCAGCTTGGCCTGCCAGGCTCGTTGTGAAAATTACCAAGAAGCCCGAGGTGCCGAGACTGGAGAGACAGCAGGATTGATGGGCCCGCTGCCAGCTTGTTGTTACAGGGTTTTGCTTAGCAATCTTTGCCATTTATATTTTGTTGTTGTTTTGATGCTGGTTCCTGTCAGTTGAACGCTGTCGCAGAGGATCTGTTGCAAGGAGTTCGGGGCGAATGCCTGGGTGGTTTGTGGTTGTCCAGGTGTGTAGCTCAGTGCACAGCCTGCTACATGTGTCCAGGCTGGACACAGTGGTGACCCCACAGTGTGTGTGTGTGTGTGTGTGTGTGTGGTGCTGCAAGTGGCCCAGGGAGCCCAGCAAAGTCCTTTCATTACCCCCCCGCCCCCGCCCGGCCCGGCACAGGCAGAGCCCCAGCTTTGATTCCCACGGGGGCTGTCAGGCAGCGTGGCCCGGCTCCCATGGGCAGATGGGTGACTGTTTGCGGCTCTCTGTGTGTCTTTGTTCCCAAGTGAGAGGTAGTTCTGAACCATCTATTTGGGAGATTTTAGAGCTAAACGTTTAAGGGAAACAGAGCCCTCCGATGGAAGGCAGGAGACTTGGAGTCACTCCTGGCCAGGTTCTTGGGCTCTCTTTGTCCCCTTCTACTAAATGGGCACAGCAGGGAGAGCCGGACAGCCTAGACACCCCGGGATCCTGGTTTTTCATGACCTTGTTATCTGTAAGGTGCCCAGACATAAGGTACCCTTGTAAGCTGTGAGGTAGATGCATAAAATACGAGCTAATCACTACCCTCAAGATATCGTTAATCTCGTTAGGGAGACAGACTGACAACATGAAATAATGGATGCCAGGCATCATGGAATTAAATGCCAGCTGTCTGGTACTTACTGTTGATGCATTGGGAGCTCTGAGAGAAGAGAATGCTGTGGGATCTGGGTGGCTTTATGGAGGCTCTGGGTCGTGGAGCGCAAATGACACGGGGTTGAGCGGAAGTGGGGGAGAAGGCATCCCAGCTGTGGCCCCAAGGGCCTTCTCGTGCCAAGAGGGGTTGTTCTTTTCGACTTGGCACTGGATCAGGCCTGGCTTATTTGTCCCAAGAGCAGTCTTTCTGTCCTTTACCTCATCCTGGGCTTGCCCAACTGTGGAATCCACACTTGGGTCCCCGCCCCTGCCCCGAGGGAGCCTTTGGAGAGAAGGTTGAAGGAGAGCCACATCGTTCACTGTCAGAGCATTTCAGGCAGGAAATGAAGAATTTCGTAGGTGGTTAAAAATACAGTGGGAGCTGATTTATGTGTGAATTTTGTTTCAGGGCAGCAGATTATAGCCCAAGTTCTGAGGCAAAGTCAGCGGTGTCTTTATGGCCTGCTTGGATCAGTTTTATGTTCTTAGTGGTTTTTATATGTCTCAGCAAAGCCAAGATGCTAGGACTTTTTTGTCCACATATTTAACCAGGGAAAACTCATGTATACCACTCCTTGCACCCAAACTCTTAACATATAAAGAAAAGAAAGACAAAAAAATGACTGTTTTTCCTTGCTACTTAGTGGGTGTCCAGTTTTCAGTTAAATGAAATTAAATCATAAATAGACAATAAATCCAGGTGAGGCCCTGAAGTGGATGTCAGGTGACACTGTGAAACAAAAGGACAACTACCTAAATATTGCTGGAGATGCAGATCACATGATCCTACAGAATCACCCAGATGAGGGGAAATTTCTTGTAGACACTGATGCCAAGATAAGCCCTCTGACCTTTTCTGGCCCACAGACAGGCTTATATCTTTTTCTTTTTTGGTTTTTTGAGACAGGGTCTTGCTATGTAGTTCAGGCTGGCCTCGAACTCAATGATCCTTCTGCTTCAGTCCTCTGAGTTCGAGGATCTTATGACTACTATACCTTTTGTAACTGATCATGTTTCTCACTTTCCTTTTGTTCCAAGGAAGCTTAGATCCGCACTTGCGCAGGGATTTTGAACAGAGGTTTCCACGTAGCAGCTTTTGCCCTGTCTTTACTCTTCTACCCTTGTTTTCCCTGTGCTCTATCACTTTATCTATTTTTATCCCACTGTACTGTGTGCATTTTTGGTAAGCTCCCTCAAATCCTTTTTTGGAACACAAAGGAGCATAAATAAATCAATAAATACATCCTGTGTTTGCAAATATAGCACTTTGTTCTTTCTAAAGCAATTTTCATATCCATTAGCTCTGTGGGTCTCTGTGTACCTCTGTGAGGAAGGCAGTGCAGGCTCAGTCACCCCCATTTTGCAGACAAGGAGGTTGAGGTACATCACCTCATTTATTGAGTGAACTGGCTTGCCAGAAAAGGTAGGCCCAATGCTCCTCCTATATCTAAAACCACATGGACCCCTCTGTGTACGAACAAGAAAGTAACAGTCTGTTGGGTGATTTCTCATTGGTAGACGTTGATTAGGAAAGGAGGAAACAAATTAGGGTGACCCTGATTTCAGAGATTCCCCCTAAGTCTACATTTACAGTTACTTCCTGCACCATTTTTCTGGTAACAGACCCAGCCCCACTGGTCACAGGGTGGCATATGACTCAAGCTAGAGAGCCAGTCATAGAACCACATGGTGGTTCTGGCCATAGTGATTGGTTCAGAAAAGAGGTCACATGACCAGAGCTGGACCAATAAGAGTTCTTTCCTGAGATTTTTCCATCTGTGGCTGGGAAATAAAATTTCATCTCTACTTTCATTCTAGAGCCGCTGAGAAACATTGCTAGAAGTGCTGGCCATTTTGCTCCCTTTCATGACAAGAAGCTTGTAGAAGGCAGGTAGTATGCACAGGGTAGCAGCTATGACAGATGACTGGTGATGTTTGAAACTTGGGTTCCAAGTGTCTGAGCCTCTCTTCCTTTGTCCCTCTCAGCATGTAGGTGAATAAATTCCCTTTTTTGAGTAAGCTAATTTGAACTGGGCTCTCTTTTACAG